AAAAAAAATGTGGTTAAATAAAAGGCTCCCCCTCATTTTACAAGTGGGGGAATACGTCTGCCGCGGCGTCATCGATGAGTCGCGCGTGTCCCAGCTGGATTAATGAGTCCCGCAGGTTGTGGGCCCCCTCGGTATTCTCATTGTAGATCATCAGTTTTACCATGGCTTCTCTTTCGCCCAGAGGATGGATAATCTGTATCCATCCCTCTTGGTGATCTCCGAGAATCTTGCACAGCAGTCGCGTTTTTTCGGGCCATTCCGTAGCTCTTCTTACTACGGGGCCCGTGTGCGCCATGCCGCGTTTGATGCTCTGCCATGGCAATTCCCGGAATCTGTCCTCCAGAAAATATTCTTGGCCTATCGGTTTCCAGACTGCCATGCCCCAGTCCTGCAAAGATATTTTTACCATGGACGTCGCTGTGTTTACTCTTATAATGAGACCGCGTTGCCAGATGTTTTTTATTTGAATGGCGCACGGGTTGGACCCAAAAGAGTAATGGGGACTCTGCGCGAGTTATACGTACTTCTAATCGTCCGCGGGTTAACTCGTGGGTGTTGATGTTCTTGATTTCCATTTTCTAAAAATAGGTAAGACTAGTTTGATATAATTGAAAAAGTTTTAAGAGGGGCCCACTGGTTTAGGTTGATGGAGAGGAAGAGAGGAGAAGACGTTAGTGGTTGAATATTTTCGTCTCTCTTTTTCTTCCTGCTAAAAAAGCCATATATCCAGGTCCTTTCATTAGATAATATGCGAAAATATCAGGTGCTTGAGTAGCTATTGCTAATGCGTTGTGTAACATTCGTTTTTCTAAATTACATTGGTGTAATACTATTACGTCTGTCCATGTTCCATAAGGATCGGAATATGTTCCTCCGATACAGCCTCCGTCGTTGTTCACACTGCCAGCGAGTGTTATTGGACGTGTAGTGGTTTGATTTGATTTTAAACCAGTTATGTAAGTATTGGCCATTTGATAGGTACCATAATCGTGCATTCTTCTGCATATATCGCGAGGTATTTCTTCTATGTATGAATATTTTCCGTTATATACATCCATGGTATGAGAGAACATTCCACATTTTTTTATTAATTATTTATATATAAGATAATATTTTACCTCTATTGTGCCAATAATAATTTTAGGTAAATATCCCAACTTTCCACACAATATCACTTTGAGTATCTTCTGTCTTTCCCACTTTCACAAATGCCACGACTCGCACTATAAAAAAATACAGAAAATATATAATAATGTATATATAATGTATTTATATTAGCTGGGCTCAGTTGATTTTTATTTTTAATTAATATGGGGTGTTTTCCAGCCAGGAACATAAATCGACACAAGTCGACTTGTAGGATGATTTTCGTAAGCTGATATTGTATTGAAAATCGTTTTTACTCAAATTTTAAAATGCTACATAGATTTATAATTACCAAATAAGCAAATCTTAATTCGTGATTATAAATTTAAGACTGCTATGAAAATCACCGAAGAGACTTGTATCGACTTGTATCGACTTGCGTTCTTTGTTGGAAAGCGTGATTCATACACTTCCACATGCGTCATATCCGACTCATTCCATCTTCATGCGTAATGAATTAGTTTACAGCTTTATTTAATAAATTAGTTTACAGCTTTGTTTGTTTTATTACTTACCAAAACTTTCGTTCACTGCGACGATATTGTTGTCTCGCACGTGCACTGTTCTGCCTGCTAGTACTCGCCCGCCATGATACTATTTCCCGAATATGATTTTTGCGCATGCGCGTTTACTAAATGCAGTGCGCGATATTTAAAAGAAGATTGCCATTCTGTTATGTGACTCGCTTCTTCTGCTATTAAGAATAAGACTCAGCACATGATATTATGATAATTACATTTAATATTATGGACTTTCAAATTTATATATAGGATGTCCCATTTTAATTGATATAGCTAAATATCTCGAAAAGTACTAAGAATATTTTAGATAAATGTTTCAGACAAAAATTGTTCAGTTCGGAGAGAAATATACATTAAATAAAAAAAACACTGTTATATATCTCCAGTATTTATTGTATAAATATTTATGCAAAAATTTAGACACATTCTAGGGAAATCCACAGGATATTTCTAGGACATCATACATCTATTTTCTGTAATTAGGTTTGTTCGTTTCATCTAAACTCCTTAGCATTTTCTGCACTTGAAATGAGATAAATGTATATTCGGATGTTTGAGAGAAAAAAAGCAAAGGACCTAGTACAAAAAAATGAACCTAATGGATGTACTTAGGATGTCCTGGGGAGTATCTCAGGACATCCTGGATATGTTTGGGATAATTTTGGGACGCTGCGAACTATCTGGAATAACAGGCCAGATATCCTACATCCTGTAGCTATCCAGTGGACATTCATGGGACATTTATATCTTATTATAATATTTAAAATTTCTAAATTATATTAAATATCGTATATAAGTAAAATAATCATATATGCACATTAAATTTTCATAAAATATATTATTTTAAAACGTCCTGAAGAAATGTCCTGAACCGTCCTGGACATATTCAGGATGATCCTGAGGACGTTTTGTGCTGTCTGGGTATTGATTTCACATTTAGTTTTTATTTCTTATTATTTAAGAAAAATATTTTATAAATTATTTTTTAGATATATACTTGCCGTATTTTTTTTACCTTTGTGAGGTATTTTTTAGTAGGATTTTATATTTCATAATAATTTTCATCCTTTAGAGTTTAGTTGTTATTCGAACAAAATCAAATATATCATATCTTTTATCTTTATTTACATATCACATCTTATCTGTTCTATAACATCAAAATTTCATCAAAAGAGCAAAACACTTCAGTATAGTTTCTTGTTAGGAGAAATTAACATAGAGATGTAATAATCTAACTTCTTTTATCTTTTGTATTTTATACAATTTTGGTGATTATTTGATTAAAAAATCAAATATATAAGATATATTTAGATGATCGTTCTTATCTCTAAACGAATGAAAAAAAAAACGTTTGACAAAATATATATTTCTTATACTTTTATCTGTTCAAACAACGTCAAAATCTTGTCAAATTTAAAGTAAAGTACTTTAGTGTGATTTCTTGTTATATATGTATAGAATAAATTAACATGGAGACGTAATATAATATTTACCTTTTTTTATTTTTTTTTTTTTATATAACACTATAGATAAACGGTTGTTTTTATATTTGTTCTCGCAGGCTTAGGCGGCACATTTGTGATGAAAAGTGAAAGAGCAAGGTACCACGTTATGCCACATGAATGGGGTACTGCGTTAACAGACGCAACAAGTATCCATAACTGGCTTCATTATTGTGACTTGTTAGATGCACCCTTGGTAGTGGTTGGCACGCTTCTTAGCAGTAACCGGTTTTACGAAGATGCTTGTAAACTTTCTGATCTAAATGTAATGTCAAAATGCTTAAAAATTAAAAGTAATATAATCATAAGTATTTATAAGCTGTGTTTTTAGGTATATGGGCTTACTGAAACCCATTTTCACGCTTTTTCCTCTAACGGAGCTGCAGGGGAACACTTTTACACGGATATCGAATCGATGGACCTAGTAGAGTATTTGGGATATTTTTATCCTGCGAGAACATTTAATCATGTAGATCCATGGTCCAGTTACGCTGAACTGATAGATTTTACCGATGTCATGCCATCTGACACTGTTCGCACTCAATTTTAATTAGAATAGTATTGCTGATGCAATTATTGATTTGTTGTTTATATTTATAAATTCTAATGTTAAATTATATAGCTTTTTCTTAAGATATCTTATGTATTTCTTTTTTATTTTTTATTATATATTTGTTATTTTTGTTTTTGCTTCCTCATAGAGGAAGCTTTGTTTTTGTGACAAAATTTTTTTTCGAGTTTTTTATGCCAATGTGTTCAGAATGTTCGAAAATGTCGAAAAATCATATTCCTAAAAAATGTATGATGTATGTATGTATGTATGTACGCGATATATTGTGCAACCTCTAACTTCCGCAATTTTTGAGATATCTAGTTAAATTTTTTTACATGGACAGAATATTATTAAAGGATGGTTGGTATTGAATTTGGTGAGAATCGGTGAAAAAGTTCATTTTTCATAAAATTTTGAATTTTTGAGAAATGTCTGTACACGTTGTAACTTTCGCAAATTTTAAGATATCGGGTTAAATATTTTTACATGGATAGATTATTATTAAAGAATGGTTGGTATTGAATTTGATGAGAATCGGTGAAAAAGTTCATTTTTCATAAAATTTTGAATTTTTGAGAAATGTCTGTACACGTTGTAACTTTCGCAAATTTTAAGATATCGGGTTAAATTTGTTTAAATAGAGTATCATTAAAGGATGGTTGGTATTGAATTTGGTGAAGATCGATGAAAGAGTTCATTTCTTATAAAATTTTAAATTTTTTGAGAAATGTCTGTACACGTCCTAACTTTTGCAAATTTTGAGATATCTTCCTCTATAAGAAAGCCAAAATTTAAAAAACCGCTTGCTTTAAGGAGCTTAAGCTTTGTGAGCGAAATAAAATGATGAGGAAGCAATGTGCAAGTTTCTAATTTGCACAATTTGCAGCTTGTTTATTATATTTTATATACTTATTTTTATTTTTTTAATTTAAAAGCTGTTTTATGTTTTTGTATTATAACTTTTAAATATTTTCTCTCTATTATTATAAAAAAATGTACTTTAGTGCAAATTATAAAATAAACTTATTAATCAAGTCAATAATAAACTGTAAAAAAATTATTACAATATATGAAATTAATATAATAAAATATTCCTTCTGTATGGTATATCAGTATATATTATTTGTATTATTATATTCACATATTTCTATTGTTATATTTTTAAAGAAAAAGCTATCTTTCTTATTTTAATTATACAGATTTATGATTTTTAATGAATAGTACATGTTCGTCAAATTAGAAATTCTGAATAATTTATGATACGCTTCTCCTTGTGACTTCGTTATGGTATATTAATATTAACTTGAATTTTCTTCACATATCTTAGTATATTTTTGTAAGCTGTTATACGGTTCAAGAAAATTACTTTTGGGCTTACCAGTAAGAGATAATATTTAATTTTCACATTGAATACAGAGCGATACCGTACGTGAAAATTTGTTTATTCAAATCCATTTAAATGAAATGATTGTATCAAACCATTATATCACTTTTCTCTCTCGAGGATTTAACGCAGGCAACACAATACACATGTATGCATATACAAATGATAACTGTAGAGAAAACATTATGTATAATAAAAAAAATCACAGCTGGAATAATATAATATTGGTAATTATTCAGAATCACGGCTCCACCTGCAAATGGGCTGCAAACTTTTTTACGGACTTTTTATGCTTAGAAAAAAATATAAATAACCATTTTTAGTTGGGGGAGGCCCAAAAACAAAAGTTATAGACCAAAAGAGGGTAATTATGGTAATTATTTCGAATAAGACCTTTTCTGAATTTTGACAAATATGATCGGATCTCTCAGTAAAACTGTTTGTTGTGACTCCAACAGTGATAATCAGTAGGAGGAGCCCGTCCCCCATCACTGTTTTTTTTGGGGACTCCCCCAACTAAAAATGGTTATTTATATTTCTTTCTAAACATAAAAAGTCCGTAAAAAAATTTGCAACCCATTTGCAGGTGGAGCCGTGATTCTGAATAATTACCATAATATTTATTGTATATTGCATATTTATAATCTAAAACATTGACCTCAAATTTCAATTATAAATTATATAATAATCAAGAAATTACTGTATATACAACTATTTTTTTTAAATACATATATAACTTATTTTGCAAAATGTAACTGTCTCGTAAAAATTATTGTACGTTTTCATATGAATATGTTAAATATGAAAAAAAATTTGCTTGTTTTCAACTTAACAAAATTATTAGGTATATTATTATAATTCAATCGATTGATTATCTTTAATTTATCAAATAATACAGATAAATTGCATAATAGACACGTCACTTGTTTTTTATTATCTTAAAATATGCTGATAAGATACTTATGTAAAATATTGAAATAATTGTCGAAATTCTCTTATAGCATTACTGATCACATTTGTTTGCTAATGGAATACGGATGCGTAAAATTTTGAAAAAGAAAATTTTTGTAAATAACTATATGTTTGCAAAAAAGAGGCAAGGATGGATATGTCAAAAAGAAAAGGAAACAAAAAAATGTTATTCTTTGCGGAGTTTTGAATTTGTAAAAAATCTTTTTTTTTTAACAAGGCAAATTTAGCAGCATTAGGAAAGTGATATTTGATATGGAATATTATAATAACAAAAATTTAAATAAATGCTCAAATAAAGCCCGTTTCCCACGATGCGATTTTTCGTGTTGGATAGCATGCGTGATTTGCTGCGTGCTCTCTACATTGTGTAAAGCTAAGCTGGACGCGCTACAAGTTTTCGCTTTACACGGAGCAAGGTGCAAAGCTAGCTTAGGGCCAATTTCACAAAGTCCGGGTAGATTAACCGACGGTTAAAATTAGCAGGGTGGCCAACAGAAAATAAAGGTGAAGGAAAACCAAGCATTCTTATCATTTCAGTTGGAACCCTGCTAATTTTAACCGTCGGTTAATCTAACCGAGCTTGGTGAAATTGGCCCTTAGCAGATGGAACTGACGATAATTTGTGTGCTGCTCCTAAAAAAAATTGTTAAGTGGACGCTGTCCGCAGAACAAGTTTAGGAGTAATTTTTCTTTTATTAATTTTAGAAGTGGAAAGAAATCATGAAACACAACAAAGAAGACTTTGGAGGAAAAAATGGCACACAATGATAACCTCAAAAAAGCAAGATCATGTCAATTTTATCACGTCGCTAGTTCTCATTGGCTGTTCGTTCCGTTAGTATCTAACAGCAAAATACGCAGAAATAAAAGAGCACTTGTTCTATCACGTAAAACCGTCAGCGCTGTACGCAGTATTACTCGCAGCAAACAACTTTTCTCGTTGCGTATCCTGCACGGTGGCTGACAGCGCCCCTCGCAAGTAAACTCGTACGAAAAATCGCATCGTGGGAAACGGGGTTAAGTCTTTGCTCAGCGAAGTACTGCGGTTTACATTTTTATTTCTGAACAAAACAAGATGTGCATAAAAAGTGCAAACTGATTTAAAATTACCTAACATAATGTAGGCTCGTGAATTTATCGACTTTTTCAAACTTATCAACATTTTTTTATGTTATTTATTATTATTTTCTATCAATTAAATTTACTATTATATTAAAAGAAATATTATAATTATATAGTTGATTCCTGAGTTACATTTTTATTGCATACTCAATTAATAATGTTTTGTTTTAAATATTACATTATTATATTACATTTTTAGGGCATTCTTTAAAACATGTCCTGTCTCGCCGCACAGACAAGATCCCCCCCTCTCTCTCTCTCTCGCTCTCTCTCTCTCCCTCCCCTCCCCCTCTCCCCTTTCCTTACCCTCCCATTCCCCCTCCCACCCCCTCTCCCTCCTCCTCTCCCTCTCTCTCACCCTCTCCCTCCCTTCCTCCCTCTCTCTCCCTCCCTCCCCCATCTCACTCTCTCTCTCCCCCTCCCTTTTTCCTCTCTCTCTCTCTCTCCTTCCCTCCCTTCCCCTCTCTCTCTCGGTTTTTCTTTCGTTCAATGTCTGCTATTAAAACACCTCTGTCTTTTTCAATGATCTGTCCTTGTTCTTCTTGATCAGCACCGGAACAAGCAGCTCTCCTATCTTTGGCTGAAGTATTCTTATTCCAATTCTACGGATTGACAATAGAGATGCTCTCAAATGCAGCTAATAATTCAGCTTTTGTATCGAAGCGTTGTATTTGTGCTTGGTTTTGTAAATTCGCATCGGGAATACCATCGATGATTCAAAAGCTTGATGCGTAACGCATACAACATCGTCGAGCATTTGCATTACTATGTCAGGAGATATGGTCTTGGCGAGAAAATAAGTTTCTTGCAGATAAATAAAAAGTGATGCAAAAGCTTCATCTGATACGATCGATTTTTAATGTGCAATATTTTTTATTCGATAATTAAAACTATGTTTTCTTGCGTTAATCTCTATGTTTAAGATTTTGAAATAATAATAATTCAGATTTTGGACTTTATTTAAGTTTTGTCATTAGAAGTTTAATTTTATTTTAAGTTTTATCATTATACAATAATTAATGCGCAAGTGCATGCTAATAAGCCTTATAAGAACTGCATTGATTTTATTGTTATATGATTTGAGTATACTATACCAATTGTAATACCGATGAAAATAGACGACAGATTTTTCCTTTTGATTAGATTTCCCGTAATATTAAGAACTAGCATTTAGACCCGCGCTTCGCGCGTGCTTCAAAGTCTATCTAACCTTTTTTAATTTTTTTTTCTTTTTTTGCGCTTGTTTAAAAGTTATCTATTCATAACTTTTTTCTTCTTTCTGTTTGTCTGACAATTAAATCGATATATACCTAAAAATTGCTATTAAAGTTTTATTTTCTTAAAATTATTTAATTTTTATTTATTTTTTTATTAATTAATTCTTGAATTTAATTTAAATTTTGCGAATGTTATAAATATTTTACCTGGAATATAATAGATGTTATATTTTTTATTATTTACTCCCTTTTTTTCACGATTGACATACTCGCCGTTAATCCACTATTATTATGTACTCACCATTAAGGGGATCCTAAACCGACGGGCGAACTCCGACGGGTTAGCGCCCGATGTTATATTTGAATCTGTTGCAGAAAATATATTTGGTGCTATCGAGTAAGTAGATTGATTATCCGATCAAACGAGCCCACCGAAGGCGGGCGAGGTTTGATCGCAATTATATGAAACGTCTCGTTCGAAGATGATAATAGGTGGGTAATGCTTGTCATTGCCAAACTTCACAACATTTCAAAGTATAAACTGAAAATCGGCGCTTCGGGTCATGGTAAGGATCCACTGCGCCATCTCTTGTCATATTGTTTAGAGATATAGAGTTGAATTGTTGCAGTTAATTCTGATGATGATCATGGGTAAAAGTGTTTTTTTTTGTGGCTTCAAAAACTCTCGGGAGGGAACGGATCATTTTCGAACGAGACGTTTCATATAATTGCGATCAAACCTCGCTCGCCTTCGGTGGGTTCGTTTGATCGGATAATTATATTACGCGTCTCGTTCTCGATGATAATAGGTAGACTTTTAGAGTCTGTGACAACTCTCTCTCTATTTTTTTTTTTAATTTCAAAAAAATGATACATATTAATAACATAAGATATAAGAACTAATAAGAACATAAATCATGTTTTAGTTTTTCAATATCGAGTGCGCAAAATTATTATTTGGAGTTTGTATCGGCTTATTGTAAAATTTTGCGAATGTTTGTGATTGGATGGACCAACCTGCTGTACGTCGAATTGTGTCAATATCGACACCTTTTGGTGAGCTGCTGAAACTGCAGCATGTCTTGTACTATAAGCCGAAAACTGGTTTGTATCTATACCCGCTTTACCAAGTAAAGATTTAATCCAGTGTCCAATCGTTTGCGCACTCACGTCACCGTATGGTTTAACCGTGGAAATCAGCAATCTCTTATTACTATTTGTTCTTAATTTTTTAGTAAATTCTAAATATTCTAGGATAATAGAAGCCGCACAGAGACTTAGTTTTTCTATGAAATATGGTAGAATTATTTCAGGCTGAAAACTACCTGGTTTTGAGGTTTTAATTAAATCTGGTATTTTAATGGTAATACCTGCACTTGATATTGAAATATTGTCTATATTTATTAGTGCTAATGTTTGGAGTCTATGTGCGGTAGTTAATGCTAAGAGTGTTGCAGTCTTTTCTGCTACATCTTTGGCTTTTAAATTCCTCAAAGGATAAAGATTCTCTAGATATTTAAGCACCGGTGTTCCAAACGGTGCTTAAATATAGCGTTGTGTCCCAAATGGTAGAGTACTTGGGTCTTGTAGGTCTTGTTTAAAAATTCTTTTGAAAAATCGTGATATTAGACCATCTCCATAAATATCACGTGAAGATATAAGAGAAATAACTGATCTTGTTGAATTCAGTGTGCCGTAACTGGCACCATCTTTGAATCTTTTTGTCAAAAAAGTTATGATCGCCGGTGTTTCTGCATGAAATACATCAATGTTATTTTCTGATGCAAAGTTCAACCATAACTTCAGGGGAGTTTGGTATTGCTTGAGCGTTGATGTTGTTATAGAGTTGATCATAATATCCACTGAATCCTCAGCAACACTTTTCTTCAGACACGCCTTCCGGATAAGTTTCCTACCATCAATGAAAGTTTTGATGCCAGTGGATGTATTTGCTGTCTGCAGGGAGATATTAATAGGTTTATATCCGGATTAAAAATTATAGGTGATACAGTTAGAAGTGACATGAAAAGTGGGTACCAGGGCTGAGTTGGCCAGAGTGGCACAACCACCGTGCCCTCAGCTTCATCTACAACTATCTTTTGTAGAGTTCTCGAAATAAGTGCGAAAGGCGGAAACGCATAAAATTTTTTGTTTTTCCATGTAGTTGTAAAAGCATCCACTGTCTCAGCTTCTGGGTTTGGAAACCTAGAGCAAAAACGTTTGCACTTTTTGTATAGCCTAGAGGCAAAAAGATCTATCGTAAATGAACCCCATTTTTTATTTATTTTCTTAAATACTTTAGGGGCTAATTCCCACTCGGTGTCTATGTTAGACACCCTAGACGCTAGATCTGCTTCTACATTCTGTTTTGAAGGTATATAAGATGCAAAAACCCATAGTTTTCGACTTTCGCACCACTGCCAGATTTTTCTCGATAATTCACTGAGGTGGGGAAGTTGAACTCCTCCTGTTCTATTTATGTAAGATATTGCAGATGTATTATCCATTCTTAACAAGATTTCGCAATTAGATAATGAAAAAGCAAAGCACTTAAGCGCAAAAAAGGCCGTTAACAGTTCAAGGTAATTGATACTATATTTCTTTTCTTCTTGGTTCCAAAAACCTTGGGTACTTATTCCTTGACAATGAGCTCCCCATCCAGTCAGAGAAGCATCTGAGGATAATTTTAATGAAAATTTAAATGTTCTAATTGGATTCGATCCTATCTGAGAATTTTCTTTCCACCAAACTAAGTCATTTGACATAGTTTTGTTGATATAAATTTCTCCTTCATAATCATTATCATTCAGAAGTAGTGCTAAGAACTTTTGTCTTTCAATTCGTTTACAATAAATCGAGCCATATGCCACCGCCGGACATGCTGCTGTCAGCACCCCAAGCATTCTAGCAACATCACGAATCTTATAAAAGTTGCCTTCTTTGAATTGGTTAGTCATATTCCTGATTTTAAGTTTTTCCTTTTCTGTTAATTCTAACCTAAAGTCTATGGAATTGATTATAAAACCTAGATATTTACATTTTTGACTAGGTATTAAGGAACTTTTTGGATAATTTAATACAAAACCCAGATTTTCTAGCAGATTTATTGCTTCTTTCACATTGTTTAAACATTTATTATAAGATTTTTGTATAAAAAGAATATCATCAATGTAAATTATTGATAATATACCCATTAATCTCAATTTATGCATAACTGGTTTCATAATTTTGGTATAGGTGTACGGACTCGTGGATAATCCGAAAGGCAGACACGTAAATTGAAACAGTTTGCTTTGGAATTTAAATCTTAAGTATTTTCGATATTTTTCATGTACTGGGACAAGAAAGTAAGCATCCTTTAAATCAAGGGAACACATGTATGCCCCTTGAGTTAACAGACTTTTTACTGCGCGGATATCTTCCATTTTAAAATGGCAAGGATCTATAAATTTATTTAATTTTTTCAAATTAATAATAAATCTGCTAGAGCCATCGGGTTTAGGTATCAGAAAGTAAGATGAGACAAATTGTCCATCGCACTCTTCACATTCTTCCACGGCGTTTTTAGATATTAAATTTTTAATTTCCTGGGCGATATTAGTTTGATCTGTTTCTGACCAGACATTATCCTTTAGTGGTTTATTTTGCCATGGAATTTCCCTGAAAGGGATTTGATATCCCTTCAGGCATTTGAGTATATATTTGTCAGTTGTGATCTTCTTCCACTGATCAATAAATAATTGAAGACGACCCGCTTGAACTCTTACCTCTTTTACTTCATTGACGACTGATTCGACTTTCGACTCGAGGTCTTCGATGTGCTTTGGCTCGTTCGTTGATTCCTGGATTTGAATCTGATCGTTGATCGTTTCGGATATCCCCCCACCTGCTTGTACTTCGCAGGTGGGTACTTCACGTTTCCCTGATTGCGTGATTTCATAGTAAATGCTTTTGAAATCTTATCCGGAGCCTTGAGTGTAGCACACGCTTTCCCAATTGCCTCTACTTCTTTGACTTGTTCGGCAAATTTCTTACCATACAGCCATTCATCGGATTTTATAGCTTCAACTGTAGGTTTAATCGCTTTTTTCAACAGGGGTGTAATAAATGATTTTCTGGCAATCGATTGTTGATAGAAAACATCAGTCAGTAGTTTTCCAACATCACAAAGATATTTTGTGAGAACTTCTTGGTCAATACCATCCTCTGGATCTTCTAGAATCATGGAAACTGCAGCAGCTAATGCTGATATTGCTGAGCCCACACAGTTTTGGGATTCCAAAAAATGTTGGTCTCTTTTTATAGCAATCTCCGACATGATCGGGGCAATTTCCAAATTAATCTTCGGAGCTTCAGTATACAGATCTTGTTTTCTCGGGTATTTTTGTAAAATGACTTTTTTGTTTTCCTCTAATCTTTTTCCACTGATCAATAAATAATTGAAGACGACCCGCTTGAACTCTTACCTCTTTTACTTCTTCATTGACGACTGATTCGACGTTCGACTCGAGGTCTTCGATGTGCTTTGGCTCGTTCGTTGATTCC